CTTATTATTCTTGAACCTGGATGGTCGTGAAATTTGTTTGAACACAGAGATGCACTTTTATCAGTTAAATCCAATGTCAATTATCAAGGTTAGATTACTAATTGAATATCACGGTTGGTTGCTGCATGCGGTTCACTAACAGAATGGTCTCATCATTTACTGAATCTGGTTTATTTGTTGAATTCCTTGTTATTGGCTGAAATTAATTCACTTGCTGAATCTAATACCATTCACTGAAACCATATGAAATAATTTTAATGAGCATTTTATCTTAGATTTTGAACAGATCATATAGATGAAATTATGTGCTCATATACTTGTTACACAACCTTCGAGTATTTACATACATACCACTCAATTCTTTATATATTTGCTGAAAATTTTTTTAAGGCATAAAAAGGAGTATTCATTTGTTGTTTATACATTCTCTAAAAAAAAATGTGTTTGAGAATATCAAAATTTGAAACATTTTTGATACTGGACTCTTTTTATAAAAATTTTATTCGAGACATATTCAGGTAGCTTCTATTGTTTTGGTGGCTCGGTTTTACTCCTTTTGCTGCTATTCTTGCTCAAATACATGTTGGGATCTATTCTAATGCTGAGGAAGTTGTTTTTGGGGTTCAGTTTTGGCTCCTTATAATTGCTGCCTTGTTTAAAAAATGTGCTGAATGAAAATTCCAGGTTAATGCTTCGAATTTCTTTACTTTGAGACTGGTGGTTTCCCCTGATTCTTCTTTGGCCCGTAAACATTCAATTGTGATCTTTTTTGGTGTTAGCTGGTGGCCTCCCCTTGCTGGCCTCGGGTTTAGCTTGGTGGCGACTTGACTTATGGTCATTTGTTGGGTTCGATTCTTGCCCTCTTGGTTGTCCTTATTTATGAATATGTCAACTGGTAGATTCCTCATTTGTTTTCCCTATGCCGTGAGCCCTTGTTTGTGTTTGGTTGGTCCCCTTTGTGTACCTATAATTGAAAAATTATGAAATATATATATATATATATATATATGATTCAATACATTTTGATTGCTTCGATAGGAGATTGGTTACTATTTTTCATGACACATGATCTAATATTTATGTTAGTAGCAGATGATTTTTTTTTATTCCATGTTGAACATTCAAAGCTTGTGTACTATGTCAAATCTAGTGATGGTCCATATTAAAAAGTTGCTTAAACATTTTTTTATCCCGAGCCGTGAAATATAATTTTTTTTTTTAGAGGAGCATATGAGATATCGAGGTGGCTTATTAGTTTGAGACGAGGGGTAACAAGCGATGATGCAAAGAACCATTTGACAGCTTTGTTTATAGCTGAAATATAAAATCAACATTCAACTAGTGTGATGCCCTTTCACTTCCTTAAGCCGTTGGCAGCTCCAACCCTCACCAAAAGATTTGGGAAATGATACTTAGAAAGAACAGATGCTACAAACACTCTACAGATATTATACTTAAGAAAGAACAGATACTGCGAGTTTTACACATATTACACTTACACTACATTTTGATAAGTTCAGATATTACATATCACATATAGGTGCACTACACTTTGATGAGTTCAGATACTATATTTCACATATAGGTGCACTACATTTTGAGGAGTTCAGATACTACTCCGTTTACACACCTTTTAAACGATAGGGTTTAGGGCTGTCTGATTATAGGGGTGATTCGTTGGTGACCTCTAGTTGATGTTGATAGGTTGACTTCGATATATCAGTTGCCTGTGGGATCGAGAGAAAGAGAGGTCTAGTCTGAGCCTAAACCTAAATTAAAAGCTAATATTCCACTTTAAATTTTCATATGCCATCACTTAACCTTTCTTTTATCATTTGTAAATATTTATCTAACCCCTTTTATATTATGCAATTGTAATATATTTTGTAGCATCACCAGACTTAATCAGGTACACTTAGTTGTTTCAGTTTTGTAAATTTACTGCACATTTTTTTATTATTGCATAGTCTTTTCTTTCTTTATATTGCTTCATTTCCATAATTTTCCTTCAGTCTTTTCCTATTACAGTACGTCGGTACATAGTTGTTTTTTCTTATATTATATTGCAGTATAGACATTCACCTACATTCAAACTTTTAAATACCAGTTCTTTTAGTATGTTTATACAGTCTCCTAGGATAGTCCTTTCGAGGCATAGTTTTCTCTCTTATTCCTCCCTTCTTCTCGGGACGAGACGACGACGTTGTTGATTGATGATTCATCTTCAGGCAGCAATCGGGACTACGACGAATAATGGCAGAAGGAACTTCAACCGAGTTTCGATAGATTTAAATAACATACCTACAGGACGCTGAGATCGTTCGTCTGGTGCAACGTAAATCCTCACATTATCTTTTAAGACTTTCTACGATTTTTATATCGTACGATATAAGTCCTAAACTTTTTAAGCTTCCGAGGTCGTCATTTGGTACGACATAAATCCTCACATTTTCTCGGGTTATTTGCATATGATATACTGCTATAAATCCTGAATATCTAAATAATTTACAGGACTGAAATATCACATAATCTCTCTTTCAAAGACGTAAAGCTAAATCATAAGTTAGTTTGAGATGTCACTGAATCTCCTTCAGTATCTTCGACATCTCCTACTTTTCACTTCTTTGGATTTCGAAAATAAATGTTCTTAATTGAATTTATCCTATTTGATTTTTCCTATAAACAATCGTGGAAACTTGAACGTTGAATTCTTGAATACGAAACCTCTGATCATTATCGAAAGTTTTCTTAGGTGACTTCGGTTGTCTAAGATGTAATTAACTATAGGGGCTTGTCTCTATAGGGAATTAAGAACCCAGATTAATTTAAACCCTTTCTAATCTATGTATTAAATAGGGGAATTTGTCGGCTATAAATTTCGCAGACCAAAATAGAGTCATAAACTTTTAAGTATAGATAGTTAAGCCTACTAATAAGTGATACGTTCATCCTCCGAGATGATATATCATTTATGGTATTGTGCTCAGCTATTTAAACTATTAGATATATAAGATCTATTCGTTCTCATCATTTTTCAAAAATAAATGATACCATTTTCACAAAATTAAAATTACATTACATTATATATTAAATTCTAAATATAAATTTTAAAATCTTATTTTTGAAACAAAAATAACCGACAATTTCTGGCGACTCCGCTGGGGATACCATGCAGAATTATCTCAGACAATGGTTCAGCATGCATATTATCTTCTAATTATTTAAATTACTATATTTTGGAATACAATAAACTAATTAGATGTTTAAATAATCTTATTAGTTGATAATTATATTTAGAAAAATATCCATTAATTTTAAAAGGGTAAAACAAGAGAGTTAATTTGTAGCAGTAGACTAAAAAAAAGAGAAAGGAATTATCAATAAACAATATATATTATTTTGTACTTTGTAAAATTATGGTTGTAAATAAAAAATCGCAATTCTTATAAAATATTTATAAATATATATTTTTTTTTATTTAGTGGATCTTTTGAGACTGGATGATCATAAGTTTGTAAAATTTTAATAATATTTCTGAAAAATATATGATATACATTGAAAGTATTTAGTTTAATGTGTGACCGTTCGTTCCTACCTTAATATTCTAAGTTTCAGACCCGGTCGTTACAAGACTAATGGTGTTTTGATCTTTGCTACTATTCTAAAGAAGTGATACTTTTGCCCATCACGCCATACATCTGCATTTCATAACCATTTTCTCTTAGCCACCCAAAAATTACAACGAATTACTAGAATAAAATAGGAATCTTCTAAATATTTCCTCAAACAGCACTATTGATTTAAATTCTATCATCCAAGTAACCTCATCTCCTTTTTAACCTCTACCATCCAATTCTTGAAACCTTATTTTCCTCATCATGTTTCACACCTGATAGAAAAACTAATGGCTTATTTGTGTGTGGTTCTGCAGCTATCAAATATGATAAGATTTATTTTTCATTTCTCAAGAAGAAGAAACAATCTGATAATGGTTTATAAAATAAAATCTTAAGAAATCAGATGTTCTTCCTTTTCTCAAAAAAATGAGGTGCTTTCTTAGCTAAGATGACACCTAACTTGAATCATAGTACTTTAATATTTAATTTAATGAGAAAATCGAAAATAAAAAATTTTAGACCAAACTATGATATGGTAAGTATTAGTTTTTATATGATAACTAACATAATGAATCTAATTACCATTATTTTAAATTTAGTTACTAAAACAATTAATCTGGTTATTCCATGCCTGAATGTGAAAACTAGCTGATAATTTGGCAACAAACGTAACCAAATTTATAATTTGAACTCTAAAAAATAGCAACGAACTCAGAAAATAATTTGTGAGCTTTAATAAAGCCTTAAAGCAATTCATCCTTCATTTAATCTCTAGCAACCCATACCAGCTCGTTTATTTTAGTGTAGTGAAGGATATTATCACTGCATACTTAACCATAATAATCCTTTTAAACACTATTCCTCTCATTTTATACACGAGAGAAACTACCACAAAAAAGACAAAATTCAGAAAGACAACACCAAATAGATGGAATAGAACTGAGGAAGATGATATCAGCCATTTTAATACTATCACTCCAATTACATTATTAACCCCTTATATATAAAACATCGCAGCCTTCTACCAATTTTTACATTCTCATTTGTTTTCTTCAGAATAAGTTCCGATCTTTCTCGTACTTTACCAATTATAACTTCTACTTGTCCAGTGTTTCTAGTCTAAATCATCAGTCTCTACTGAAAATATAATCAGGGCATAACAATATCACAGATCAAGCAATTCTCACAGATGTAACAACTTTAACGTAAACATGCATGCTGCATGAGAAGAGAAAAGACTTAATGCATAATACACTGAACTTAAACATATATGGGGTATAAGTAAATAGTTTGGCTTCAGTGCAACAACGCACTCATCAAGACCAGCAAACTTAAAACGGAAAAAAAAAAAAGGCAACAGAACAGTACCTTTAGATACAGTACCTTTAGATGAAAGTATTTGTGTTCTCCATGCAAAAAGGCAAGCATTTGAAAGCGAAATGGAGATTGGTGAAGTTGAAAATCCATCATTATCAGAAAGAGAAATAGATACAAAACGTTCATTTAAAGGGAGCACTTCAGGCGACGATGCAAACCTTACAAAATAGTTAAAAGTATAAAATGGTATTAATAGATGAATGAAAAGTAAAAAATTAGACTAGAACTCGAACAAATAGAGAAAAACAAGCATGATAAACAAAAAGTACAAATAAAGAACTAAGCAGTGCATGCATTTAATTGGATCAATATATATCAATGATATACATGTTAGCCAATAGGTTCTAAGGGAGATTTTGAGTAAACAGCAATATTTGTATGGATTGTACTACTACAACAACAACAAGCCTTTATCCCACTATGTGGAGTCGGACGAATTGCGCTACAAAAAGGTCAAATTCATTTAACAATTCATTATTATATTGTTATTAGAAAAATTATCTAACTCCTGGGATGGAAGCATGTGGATGAATTGAGTTTTGAAATTGATTCTCCAACTAACGCAATGAGAAATCTATTTAAATCTTCTCCTTTCATTCCCTTCTATCTCCATTTTTCTTTCCACTTGTTTCTCCTACACTAGGAACGTCCAAAGAGTTTCAACTGCTTTACAACTCCAAAGTCCATTTTGAAAGGGGTAAAACTTGGTGGAATCTCATCATTAGAGACAGTTTGGTTCATTACATGATTCATTAACTTTCAAGCAGCTTATTGGAATCAGAAAATTAGAAAATGATGTATGCACGACATATGATGATTTTGGGTTCACAAATGCAAACCTACAATTGAGCTGAGAAAAAGAAAATGCACAAAAAAATCAAATTATCATTTTTTCAACTTTAAATTTAGGGATACGGCTTTCTTAACTCAAAATTAGAACTTGACCAACATCAACTGAAAATAAAAATGTAGCCAAAATCTAAAATTTAAAATTCCACAATGATTGAGATTCACAATATAAAAAAAAAATTAAGAATATAAAAACAAACAAGCAAAAAAACTTGGCCAAATATCAATCACACATACCAAACAATCATAAAACAGCTTAGATGAAAGAATACAGATAAAAATCACTACAAGTTTTCTGCCCCATGCTGGTACAAGAAACATCACTCAAATTTTGTCAACAAGATACGCAAAATGCTTGAGGAATTCACATTCAACAGCACACAAGCATTGATAGGAATGCAAAAAGTTTATTTAACCATAGATGTAACTTTACATACCTAGGGAACTCGTACTTATGATAAAAAGACCCAAAATTAGTAAATTCTCAAAGTCCTCCAAACCCTAGCCTAAAGCGATGAGTTTCAATTCATCCGTTCATTAAAAAATTCAGAACCATTTTTTTCTTATGTGCCCAAACCACACCAATGGCTTCCAAATTTTAGCTACACATTATTCCGCAAATAGAATGGACAGCAAAATTTATAAGGATAAACCACAATAAGCAATAAGTAGTAAGTAGTAAAAAAAACTCGTCAAACACCTCAATAAATCGCAAGCCACAAATGGACAGATTCGTCTGTAAAATCAATTCTTCATCCGACTTTCCTTCGTCAGAACTTTCTTCCACCTCAATGCTGATGGTCGGCTTAGTCCATTCAACAGTCGTGTTGGTTCTTCCTCGCCCACGTCCCCGGCCTCGATCTCGGGTCCATGGAGTAAAAGAACCCCTACCAACTCGTTGCGGAGGAGTGGCAGTGGTTTGTTGAAGCGGAGCTGAATAATCTTGCTCTTGTGATCCCTTTGAATCTTCAGCCTCATGTGGCACAACTTCTCGAGAAAAGACTGTCTTCTTCGGAGGAACATAGTAGACGGCGTCTTCGTGAATGCCTACTTCATGAATTGAAAATGGTTGTAAATCCCCTTTGATGCAATTCTCTTGTCCTTCTTTACGATACTTGATACACTGATGAAGAGATGATGGAACCATGTTATGCTCGTGAATCCACGGTCGACCAAGCAAAGCATTGAACGAAGTTTCCGCGTCGATGATATGGAATTTAACGGTTGTTACTAGCTCTCCTACCTTCATTAGTAGTGTAATCGACCCAAGAGCTCTTTCTCCTTTCTGGTTGAATCCTCTTAACATCATTTTATCGGGAATGAGCTCTTGAACGTCGAAGTCCAAATATGCTAACGTCCGTAGACTCATCAAGTTGAGTGATGCTCCCGGATCCACCAAAACTCTGGATAACACAAATCTGCCGATGTTGACGGAAATGTAGAGTGGTCTATTGTGGTCAGTAGTACCCAACAACAAATCCTGATCTGTGAAAGTTACTCCAGGCTGATCCTTCAACGAACAAACCTCGTCTGAGGACGTGCTAGCCAACTGAGCTAAGCAAATTTCCGGATCAAGTAGAGCCTTGACCAGAGATTCTCTCATCTCCTTTGACAGGATCAGAGCATAAAAAATACTTAGTTTGGCTGGCAACTTCCTGAGATGTGCTAGTACGTTGTAATCCACTTTGCTTGAACTTCCAGCTTCTTCTCGAATCTGCGTATCTTCCGCTGCTGGAGGTGGTTCACTTGAAGCAACTGGTTGTTTCCCTTTTTCCATTAGAGATGTCCCTGAGGGTAATACTTTTCCTCTTCTCAAATACACCTCAGTAATCTCTTCCCCTTTTAGCGTTGTAATCGATTCTTCTGGTTTGGAAAGATCTAAGTTGTTGGTGAGTGGTGAACCACGACACTCAATGATCAGTTTCTCACTCTCGGTGCTATCGTAGGTGGTATTTTTGATGTCTTCTTCGGTCTTGCTAACATGTTCATCGGACTAAAGCACGATTTGAGGATCAGTTTGGGAATTGAGATCAATGCTAGATTGGTTTTAATCGATTACATAATCACTAGAAACAGTTAAAATGTTGTCGAAATCATAAACATTATATTCATATGACCCTGGAGGGACAAAAAGATAATCATACAAGGTCAGGGGTTTGAGGATTTTCTTCCCTATATTCGAGATAAATAATCTAGCCGACGCAGCCCCTATCCTACCCCCGTGCTATCAGTCTTCATGGTGGTGTTATTCTTCTTCTTCTTTGATGGTGACAGATCTTTTGGTGAAATCTTCATCTCGGGCTTGGCAGGCTGAAGACTCTGAACGGAGGCTTGTACTGAAGCATTCTGGATCTGGTTCAGGACCCACTTGAGCTTGTTCTAAGTTGTACTCCATCCACATTTTCCAGTATACGGGTCAATCAAAGAAACTAACTCAACCGAAATCATATTTATAGAACCTTTTTCAAGTTCCTTTAAATATTCTTTCGGAATCGTTATATTCCCTTCTTTGAGATTCCTCTCAAGCCAATCCTTAAAACTGAAACATCC